ATATATATATATATATATATATATATATATATATATATATATATAGTATAGAAGGAGGAAAAGTTACAGAGAAATGCGTGCAAGAGACTATGAGTGAAGCAAAAGAGGAGGGTCGTCTCTCAGGACCCGTACTTCTCGTCTTTCTATCTTTACAATACCTAAAATTTAAAAAATTTACCTGAAAAATTTACGAAAGAGATATTAATTTAGTCAATTAATTTACACCATTTCTCGCGAACGTCCAAGTGAACGGTGTTCTCTTGTTCAAATCTTCTTATTTAAGAACTCGCTGTTGTCGTCGGCATCTTCTTTAGGGAACAGGATAACGGTGTGTCGTGGTCATATTTCTGGTATATGTCTTTATAATGTGTGTTTACATGTGTTTATGTGTGTGTGACGGTATGTGCATGCGCGTGTATATTTACATGTGCGACAAATGATCTTGTTCTGTACAGATCGAGAATGCGCGAGCTCGCGCACCTCGCACGTGTCGTATGCGGTTTCGGTGATAGATCTGCACTCTTACGTGCTTGGGAACTTCGTGTCGTACACTTGATAAACATTCAGGTATGGCGTACCAAATCCGAAGAGTGCATCACGTCGCGACGATTCGATTCAGCGTGGCCCTCGTTGGTATCAGACAATATACATCAAGGCTAATTACAGAATTCATTATGCAACTCGTCATATAAGATATTATTAAAATATTTCATATTGAAAAAATTTTATACTCGAGCGTACAAGCGATATTTGTATCAATTGAAATGACGGAAAAATTTTCTGTCGTATGAGTTAATTCTTTACTAAAATGTAACTTATTGCTGAATAACGATTGTTATTAAATTTTAGCAAATATAATATATGCAATATATAATACCCCTATTCACTCCAACGTTTTTTTCGCCCCAATAATCCTCCAACCATGCACTTTCGAGTCCCACGCGTTTTTTATAATGTTAATAGCTTTGAAAAATTCCCCAAAAATTATTATAATATCTTTGTACCTTCGACTAAAAATCAATGTAAAGAACATTTGAAAATCATTTATTTAAATATTTTTTTACAACAATTATATGTTGACAAACACACGTTACGACTCGTTTTACTTAAAAAATCATGACTCACGAACAAATTGACGAAGCTTAATGAACCAAAACGCAAATTAAAGCTAAAAGTAGTGCAAATGAGAAAAAAAATATGAGATAATTATTAATTAAATAAGAATACTTAATTTCGTCGCCGCAAATTTGGTAATTTTTAAATGGTACAGAAGGACTTTAAGGACTTAAAGAATGCTAGAAAAAGAATTTCTGAATAAGAAAAGGCGAATTTGAAGTGTGACAGATATTTTTTATGTAAAAAAATTAATTTTTTTTATATAATCGTAGCTCCTCCCCACCTCTTCCACCTGCCTCTGAGCCATAATAGACCTCTGTGGAATGTTAAATTTCTTTTTTAACGACAAAAATATTTTAAATACGGTTAAATTATACACAAAAATACATTTTTATCGAAAAAAATGCTCATTTACCTTTCACACAACACTGACGTAATCCTCCAACCATGCACTTTCATGTCCCACCGAGATTTTGATTGTTCCCCGTTTCGAGAGTAAATGAGCTAGGACTTTGAAATTTTTACCTGAGGTTTCCTGCCACAATAACTTTTTTCCGGCGTGGAGGGGATTCTCCCACGATCATTTGTTTTCCGGAACAAACGACTGTTAGAAATTCGTGGGACACGAAAAACATGGTTGGAGCGAATAGAGATACTACTGTTTTTCTTTAAATCCCTGGATTATTAATTTCATAGGTCTTTAAGAGTGGCATATGTAGAAATTGTATCGAATTAATTAAAAAATTAAAAAATTGCGATTTAAATTTTCCCGCGAGACGTCGTACCTTCGACGGGCCATCTGAAAAAGGGAATAAAGCGGAAAGAACTGGTAAAACAAACATTCTCCCCCCCTCGCATCGCGGTCGTGTTTCGTTTTCTAAGAGATCCACGTCGGTCCGTAACCCCCGAGGCAAATTCGGACGGAGGTGATTCCGTCGGTACGCGGTATGCACCCTTGGGAAATTGAAAACCACTTTTAGAGAATGAGACTTCCCTGCCAACAAGCTGGTCTGCCGCAATCATCCATGTGAGACTTTTCTCCTCCATTGTGTCCGGGTGTGGCTGCAGGTCTTCCGCGCGACGTCGCTGAAAGTCTTTCTCGCTCTTTCTCTCTCTTTTATTCCTGCCTTCATTTTTCTCGAGTCGTTACTTTTCCGACTTTATTATCCCCCGGATAATGAATACGATCGTGTCCCGGAGACAAGTTCACGGATCGAAAACACGATGATTGAGTCTGCAGGAAACGGGGTATGTCCACCCCGCGCTGTTTACAAATACGTAATGACTGCGGGACGGCCGCCGTCTCAGTCGCACTTTGCACCAAACGCGTTCGCAAAAATAGTCCTGATCCAATCGATTATCCGTTCGTTAACCGGAACGAACTCGTTAGTTCAAACCCTCAACCTCCGACCCAATTTTTAGGACTGCGATTAATAATTTTTTTACTTGAAATAACAACAAGGATAATAAATGATAACGAAAGGGACAACATTTGATCGACCTACACGTGACTTTTCCAGTCAAGAGCGGTCGCAGGGCAATGACGGAAAAACGATCTCCTAATTTAGATCCTGCTTAATCGCGAGAGAGCGAGTACGCCACTGACAATTTCTCGCGTAATTCCGTGGCTGCGATTGTTACACGATCCTCTCGTGCTTGACGCTAATGTTATCGCGATCGCACGCGACTGCGAGAATTAAGAGAGACAGATTTGACAACGGAAGTGGACAAAGACATTTTATCGCCTGGCCCACACACCTCCCAACAAACCCGTCGTATCTGTTCCTTCTACTGTTTTTTTTTCGCTGTCATCTATGTATAAACGTATATCTTTCGGGGACTCTTAGTGTAGCGTTTTTGTGTGGGGCAGCAAAAACAGCAGCGGGGTTGATAGCCGGGTTTCGTGCAGCACAGCTTGTCAGCAGGGTGGTGTACGTGTCATTCGTAAGAGATATCTTTTCTCAACTACTCTTATTTACAAAAACGTGATCACGTTCCATTTCCATTTCCACGATTTTCCTTCATTTCAATCCAATTGGATCGGAAAATGCCTCGATTGATAGAGCATGTATAAATTATACGTAGTTCGTATATATGATATTGTATAAATATTAATAAAGTCATTGAACATTATACAATAAGACCTCTCATAAATGGCATAATTTCATATGATAATTTTGTGTATTGTCTAATTAAATTGCCAAATTTATAATCTTGTAATGTATTAATGATATACGTTTACATGTTAACTTTGGAATATCAAGCGAAATATATTAATTTACTAATAATTCAAAAAAGAAATCTTTAATGATATTTCTTTATTGAAAGGAAATGGAGCGTGCACATAGCTGCAAAAGTATTTGTAATTATTATGACCTAAGTACCGAACAGGTGATTGGTGTATTGCAACTAGTTCTTTGCACCTGGATAGCTGCGATAGGCTGCTAGAAAGAGAGAAATAGAACAGTGGTGTTTTGGTGATGTTAACAAGAATTTTGCCTCGTGTACTACTCACTACACACTACAGAAACGGCTGAACATCATACAGGAGATGTAAAATATGGACAAACACAAAAGCGACAAACATGGGACGAGACTTATACGATCGTTGGAAGAAAATCAAATGATAATAAGATGAAAGTAATTGCACTGTAAGAAAATTGGGAATTAATCGGGAAAATTCAGAGGTAAGGGAAAATATGTCGAAATAAACATCTCTATGGTAGTTATACAATATAGGAGACGATGTCACGCTCCAGCTTTTGTATATTTCTTTTTTATAAAAGTAAAATGTACAAATTAAATGGACAAATGCGTTCGGAAATAACGCATTGTTATGGATTATATATAAATAAAGAAAATTATTGTTTAATATAATATCACATGTAGGATTATCATAGTACTGTGATGACTTTTAGTTAAATTTAATTAATAATCCACGTGTAATTTGCATGACAGATGTTATTAAATGATAGAGGTTCATCGTACTCCTAGCACAACTATCATATAATTCTAGCACTGCGCAACAATTGGCCAATATTATTGTTCTGTCTGCCTTCGCGCGCGATGATATCGTGTGTATATAAATATCCGTGATATAGATCGGCATTACATAGAACTCGATACGTGTTCAATAGCGTGTGAAGCACGTAAAGGGACTATTGCTATCAAGGGAGAAGACCGATGGCGTACATACTCGACGTAGATTGGCGAAAAGCAGCGCAGCAACGAAAAGCTTCTTTTGACGCAAAACTAGGAAACTGAAAGGGAGGGTGATGATAAACATGAAAGAAAAAAGAGAGAGAGAGATTGTGAGACAGAGAGATAGAGTAAGAGAAAAGGAACTACAGTTTTAGGGGTAAAGGAGGAACGAAAGATAGGAAGAAAACAGGGGTTGAGGTGTAGGAGGAAGAGGGAACAATGTGCGGTCGAGGGGAACATGCGTGCACTTCGAGTCTTTTGTTCTCCGTGGGCGACATCCTCGGCCTGCACAAAAGACTTTCCGAGAGTATCGCGAGAAGCGTATCGATATTCTCCTTTATCCGTTCGATTTCTCAAAACTTTTGAATTTTCGTCCGTTCAGGCGTATTTCTTGATAAAAAAAAGTACAGTGGGACCGTGATATAATCATAATACTCAAGCGATATATCATAATACTCAAGGGAGATAGACAGAAAGTGGAGATCAACGATGTGAGAGTATAAATGGAGCCAAAGCGATCAAGAAATTATGTACGAATAAAAAAAAAGAAAAAATGGAGCAATTTCTTCCCAAGCTTGTTAGGTGGAAGCGCAATGTATTCTCTTAATTTTGTGCATTTATAGTTTCCGATTATTTCTTAAAGTGCAGGATGCTTGTGGCTGTTATATTCTTCAACAACGTTCTCGTTTGACACATTAAATATAAATTTAACGTAATATAATATCCTATAAAATTTAATTAATCGCAAATAATAAAATAATAAGAATTATGCAATACGAAACATATTTAATGATTTATTTAAATTAATTCATCTTTTTCCGATAACTAATAATAATTTATCTTTAGGTACGATATACTGAATCAATGTGCAACGCTACATTCATATCACGTTCCACACAGGACAATATTTAATTAATACATATTCTTTCAAATGAGATAATGAGATATAAATCCATTACATTACATTGAGTCACAAAGTACCCACACTATAAGATAGAGATTTGATAAACCTAAATAACTCTTCTTAATGATAGAGATGCATTGCAACAACGGTGAAACCGCAATACACGTCTCCGTTTCATTTTCTCTTTAGGATAAGCGACATCAACACCACTGTACTTTATTATCGCAGCCCAACAGTGAAAAGGATAGAGCATCGAGCGGTACTTTATCCTTTTTGACATCGACCAATTTTCAGCGGAGAGATAATTAAAAAAAAATATGAAAAAAGAGACGACACACTTGCATGAAGCACACGCCACATGGAACAATCTGCGGGGTCGAGGCTGGAAAGAGGCAGAAAGGCAGAAAAAGAAGAAAGTAGAAAGGAAAAAAAGATTTTTAGTGTTCTGGTTGACCCATTAACATGAAGAACTTTTATAAAATATTTAATGTCATAACAGAGCTATACCGAGTAAAAAAATTTATAAAAATGGTTTTTTTCGTACATACCACGTTTTCATTTTTTCTACGTCAACATATAATGTAAATCTCAATAATATTTTCCTGTCAACATTTTCGTAAAATAAATTCTGTCACAAAAACTAGCAGGTTTTATAAAACCATTTATATTCATACTGATATTTTGTTTAATGGGACAATCGCTGACACAGAATATAGTGTCGGTGTTTTGACGCCAGGAAACATGCAACATCACGAAATATTTTTCTGGATAATGTTACATTAATATCTTGCTTTTATTTGTTACGTTATTATTCTATCTGTATAATAAAATAAAGTTCTGACGCAATTCACCGACCATTAAGATAGAGAAATGAAAATAGAACGGACAATTCGGATGTGTGAAGAAAAAATAAAAAGGACATCCTCTGTATCGTTTAAAGACTCAGAAAGGATCTGATAGGTGAGATAGTGTGAACTTCGTTACCATGTAAAAAGGGAAATGCTGGACGAGGTACTCAAACAGTAATCATTAGATTAGGAGAAATATTTGGAAAGGACAGAATAAAAGCGCAAACAAAAATGGGAGAAATAAACAAGAATTGAGAATAACAAAAAAGAAATAGTCATGAAAGTTACGTATGAAGAAAAAGTGAGAAATGAAAGAAGAAAATGTGAGAAATAAAAAAGTAGTAAAGAAAATAAAAAAGGAAGAGGTAGAAAAGGGTAGAAAGAAAGAGAAAAAGAGAGAGAGAGAGAGAGAGAGAGAGAGAGAGAGAGAGAGAGAGAGAGAGAGAGAGAGAGAGAGAGAAATGCATTACCGCAATGCTAGCCCGAGATTGTGCGGCCTTAATGTGGGCTTGAAGGTGCAGAGGGGGGTGGAAATAGCGGCAGGGGTCCCGATTGCATCGGCCCTTGACAGCGTCCATGCAGACCGTCACAGAGCCGTCCTCGTTCGCCTGCACCGTCTCGAGGGGGTGCGCAAACCGGCACTCCGTCTCGCCGCGTTTGCACGCCCCGCGTTGAAACTCGCGACATACCTACAGCAAGAGCGAACACGCATGGCATGGCACTCTATCTATGTGGGCAAAGGGGGTTTGGGGGCTATAGGCTAGGGGCTGGCTGGCTTGGCAGGGTCCGGGGCACAAAAGTCAGAGAGAGAGAGAGAGAGAGACACAGAGAGACAGAGAGAAAGAGAGAGAGGGTCGTAGTTGTTGAGGGAGCAGCTCAGGATAATGGGTGAGGCGATTGTTCAAACGGTCGCTGGTTCTCCTCCGATTACGATCGTATGTCACACTGTTCGATGGTTTCTTGGAGCTAGATGGATAAGACAGATGGATATATACAGAGGGAGAAAAAAAAGTGAAACGGATGTTGTTTCTTAGTGATGAAAGAACGATGACATTATATATGATATCATGATATCGTGATATCACAAATGAGAATGTCTCATTGATTTGTGTTAGACGTGCTTGCGGTGACGACGTCGAATTATATTAGACGAACTTCTTCGAGCAATCTTTGAAAGAACTTTATGTTTTTTAATGTGTTCCTATATTAATAATAAAACTTTAATTTTCTATGCTCTTTTCATATTATTTATATGGATAAGAAAATAAGTTTTCGTTTAAATTGCTTCTCGAAATACAAACGAACGTACCCAAAAGTCAAATGCTCGCAGTATGGATTTCATAATTTGTAAAGTTATGTGTTCGTAAATAGGTGCATTAAATTATAATAATTCGAAAGAAAAAAATATACATTGTAGAGCTATTGCCAGTGTTGTGACCGACGTAAACTTTTTTTTTTATAGATATGGCGTACGATGCACTTGACGGAAAAACTTCGCGAAGAGTCGTGTGTGAAAGGAGTTCCGGACTGACTCGAATAGGAAGTATAGCTGATATTGAATAGGAAGTAGAGATTTTTGTGAACAGCAGTACTAAGGAACATTGGCGCGTTACGAAATGGGATTTTTCTACTTTGGCGAGGACGAGCATTGGCCGTGGATACGCGTTGTGGAACATGCGAACACGCAAAAAGTCAATTAATGACTGGCTGGTAAAGTAAACAACTTCAAAGCGCCACTGCATCGTAATTTTACGGCGCCCTTAAAAGCCGCGTTTCTCTCCGTAAAAAAAATCCTCTTGTCGCGGATTAACTTTACTAGCGCGGAGCGTTAATTTATTAAACAAACAAGATCCTTTACGTCGCGGCGCATTCGTATTCATCGCGTAAACTTGTATTTAAATTAGTTCAGCAGTTTACTTTAAAAGCAATTGAAATAAAATTCTAAAAATATTGCTAAGATGGATAAATTGCACATAATGCACATATATCGTTTATATTAAATAGATTTTCTAAAAACTGATTTACGCCACGTATAAAATAAATAATTTTTGAGAAAGAATATATTTATGGCTCTATCGTAAGTTTAATTTTTGCTATGAACGTTGAAATTAATATATTCAAGGTAAAAGTATGAGAATCTTGATAACGTGTATCCACAGTTGACACCTGGCCGCATAAAGACTACTGGCTAGGCTTTTAGTGTGTTTGGCAGCCACAGAGCTCGTGCCGAACCTGGCGATATACAGGCGGGACTACGTCGTTCTTTTTACACAAGATGGATGTATACAGTGAGGCAATAAGATATGCGTAAAGAGGAGAGAAAGAAGGTAGGGCGGGTAAAGAATCAAACATAGAGAAAGAGAAAGATAGAGAGAGAGAGAGAGAGAGAAAGTATTGAAATGAGAGTGAGAGTAGAGTAACGTGTAGCTAGCAATTGGATCGAGTGATGCGAAAGAGCGTTCCGTTTGTGGACTTCGGGTCTGTTTCGGGGGAGGCGTTAAAAAGAGCCAACCTGACATTTCTTCCTAGTAGTTCTTCCTTTTTCTTTCTGGCCGTTGGTACGCTACCCTAGATGCTTCTTGACACTTACAATTAGCTTCGAGTTTCTATATTCGGTTTTCTATCGCGTCTTCATCGCGGTTCTCTCGCTGTGTGTACTACTCGCTGGATAATTTGTCTTAGTGGAAAGAATATCTTTAGCAAAAAATGGTTTGTTTACGAACAGATACACACGTACACGATATCCGACGTAACGTTCGTAAGAATCACCCTTATATACGTGAACGCGCGAGTACTTTTTGTCGGGAATGGACGGAGGGCCCGCGACGCGGCCGGCCGACTCGTATTACCGGGCTAATTTTAGCGCGTCAGCGCGAGAGACTGGTGCTTACCAACGCCCAGAAAAGGGAGAAATTAGATCACTCTACTCTCTACTAATGGAGCTAAAATACCGTGTTCAAATCTGTCAAAGAGACGTAGCACGCCGTTACTCGGTGCACCCTCGCCCCGCCCAATAAGGTCGAAGGGACACGGGGTCTGTGGATGGCAGTCGGGGAGGTCAAGGAGTAATAATAAATGCCTCCACGAGCATCCTCCGGTGTATTATCAATCGGGTTAATACACGCATGTGTTAAAGGAAATTCTGCACATGCATGACGTACCATTCCCTTCCCTGTTCATTTTCGCCGCGCCTCCCATTGAGAGAAGTAGGAAGTCGAATAAGACCTCGAATGGTACTTGGCAGATTCTTCTTAAAAATTTAAGCAATTGTCCAGACCATTAGGAGAAAAAAAATCGATACAAATGTCAACAAATTTCGTCGCAAAATAAAATTGATAAAAAAATATTCGTTAATGCAATCAACTATAATTGCATATTTCCAGATATCATTGCGGTGTCGGAACGAAAATCTACTTCTCTCAAAATATGAGACTCAGAGCATTCTAGAGTACCATGCACATTATAATTTTGAAATCTACACGTTGAAGCGCTATTCATCAATGAGTACAGAGCACTATTCATTAGTTGTTTCCTGATCAAATTCTTTTCTTTTTTTTTCTTTTTTATCGGATAAATCTACCTCCATGTGCAGGCATTGCGCTCGTACATGGGACATTTGCGCTCAATGGCAGTGCAAGCGGGATAATAAGCGTAATAGCGCATCACGAGCGTTACTTCCGCGCGCGCCACGCGGAGTGCCGCTCGCTATGTTTGCTTTACTTTCGCGCCTGCCTTGTTCGAGCGTGTTAATTCGAGTGCACGCATTCGAGCGCTCGAGTGCGAACCGCGGGTTAAAGTGCGCGCTTTCGGCAAGCTGGAAAGCTCGTTAGGAAACGTACACGTATACATAGACAGTAAACGGTTAACGAGAGAGAGAGAAAGAGAGACACGCACGCACGCACGCACGAACACGCACACATACACACACACACACTCACACATACATACGCTCTGCATACACATATGCAGACGACACATGAGCCGCGTGCAGAGACATAAGACACAGATGGCTTTGTGTGGGTAGCTACAGAGAAAGAAAATGTATATAAGTGCGTGTACGTGAGTGCGTATTGTACGTGTGTGCGTGTGTGCGTGTGTGCGGTATCGCGAATTGTTGCGAGACAGATAGTGTAGTTGACACCGCGACTAAAGTGAGAGACAGGTGCGACGAATGGTCCTTTTGAGCTTCTAATTAACAACGCGCGGTCGGCAAGTGGCGCGCAACGCGCGAGAGAATCAATTTCAAGTAACACTCGTAAATTTTCGCCCGAGGAAAATTACATCGGCGACAAACGCGATATGCCCTTGCTCGAACGAGAGTGATATTTCAAGCGAATGAAATCTTGGTGTTGTGCGTCGAGAAAGATTATTATTGTTTAACGTATATTCTGTCACGCAGAACGACATAGTATACTCGCAAACGTCCCCCCTTAATATAATAGCAAAATATTCCAGGATTTAATTAATTATTCCATCATTTAATGTTTATTAAAAAATAATAATAATAAATATTGGAAAAATTTCTTCCGCTTGCTCGCATTGTCGTCCTATAAATTAAATCGTTCTAAATTCAATTTTTTAACTTGCTACATTTTACTGCTACTCTTCGTGCGATAATCCTATAATCAACTCTCGACAGAGAGACTGATCGATTCGGCATTATCTCAAAATGTCTTTCAAACGAACCATCGCGCAGAAATTATTCAATTTGTCGCTATAGAAATCACGTCCTTCGTATGTACACGTATGCGTAAACAATAATTGAAATATGCATATCTGCAATGTGCACCAGTTACTACGCATTCTATATAACTCGCGCCTCGTATATCCCACACTCATTCATAAATCTGTATTTTACTGAAAATTTTCTATCAGAAATTTTTCTAAAACGCGTGAGAGAAGCAGTGTGAAAAGCAGCATTAACAAAAACCTAGTAGCGACGATAGCGTCGCGTGCATCGTTCTTTACAAGAAATTCGATATGAAGTATCGCCTTGTTAGCAGCCATAAGACGTGAAAAGAAACTTGCTATATTGCACAAGCATACATGTAACACTACAGCAGTTGCAGAAAAAAATCACGAAAAGAAAGAAACTTAAAGTCGTGAGGAACTGTGTGGTGCTTCCATGTGTCTGTGTCTGTGTGTGTCTTGTGTGTGTTGGATGCATGTTCATTTAAAGTGTATGCGGGTGTTTGTATACGTGTCCACATATGACTGTTTGTTGTAGATAAATATGTTATATATGTAAATATATATATATATATATATATATATATATATATATATATATATATATATATGCGAATAATGCGGCAATAAATATCAAAAATTCATGCGATCGCATAATGTAAAGCACCTCCTCCTAGCTGTAAAAGTAAACACTTAAATCGCTGCTGATGTATACGACAATTAATAGAATTAGTAAATAAGTAATGTGTTTGCGAGATTACGAAAGAACAGAAATCATAAGGTACTCTGGCGCTGAAAAATGAGAGACACATGTATATATATATATGTGGGTATATCGCAGCACACTTGTCAAATTCATATATATATAGAAATGTATATATAGATATATACATATATATATAGAGAGAGAGTCGCAACAAATTATATATTGCCGAGATACATAAGGCTGTACAAAAAGCTGTAAAGAGCGCATTAGCTTTGTGCAATTACGCTGGGCTGG